TTATTCGTTGCTTTGTATCTAACTTCGTATAGATTCAAATGACCTAAAATGTACTGTATTTGTTAGAGTATAATGACAGTAAAAATTGGCATGTACACCCAGCCGTCAAAGCATGGTGCGCTTGTGTGTGTTCTTTAAAGAAATTCTGTAAATTTCTCAGGATGAAGAAAGCATGCACACTATCTCTGAATAAGCCTAAAACCGACACGGAATGCATGATTTTAGAAGCCTTTGATTACAAATTGGTTTTTGTAGGTTTTTCCTTGTGGTAACCTTCCGCTCTTTAGGCAAGTGTTTTCCAGACCAGAAAAATGAGAAAATCAAGCATTCGGTGAACACTAAGATTACACCTTCGAAACTCAACATGCACATGTATGTATGTATGTAAGCTCAACAGTCTAGCAACTAGACATAGAGCCAACAAAGCCATGGAGATTAGAAGATGAGAGGAAGTCATTGCGTCATAATCATCGTGGCATGGCAGTTGAAGGTGGGCAACACACTTCAGCTAATATGCCGCAAGAAGAATGGAACATTGTGACAAAACATAGAACAAAACATTTTTAGTTTGTTTTTTACACGCCGATTTTTCTCTTTTTTGTCATTTTCTATGTTTGTAGTATTAAACATGTGAATCAGTACAATACTGTACACAGTTCTTCCACTGATTCCGGTTGCGAGCAATGTCTTCAACAGTGCTAAGTCATTTGCACTCCTCACCTTTGGGTCCACATCCTGGAAGTTGTACGGATCCAACAGCGGCTAGACAAGACGTCAGCGATTTCATATGCTGCCGCCAATTGGAAGGCTGATCACCACGCGGTCGCTTCCATCTAGGTCCTTGACGAGCGAATAGAGCGCGACGCGGTAGACGCTCAGGCGCCATGCGTAGGACATGACCAAGCCATCTTAACTGGCGCAACAAAACCAGTTTGTTGAAGGGAATACTTGCATGCCCCAAGGTGCGACTTCGAAAGTCATTACTATTAACTCGATGTTGCCACCAAACACGCGCGATCCTCCTTAAGCAACCGTTATCGAATACATAAAAGACGACGCATGTCTTCCTTGCGAATTGGCCAGCACTCGCACCCGTACAACAATACTGAGCGAACTGATGCGCTGTAAACGCGGCCCTTTAGTGAGAAGGAGACATCATGACGACGCCACGAGTGCCTCAGATTGAAAAATGCTGATCGATCTTTAGCCATACGAAGTGAAACTTCTTTGTTGATAGCGCCGTCAGCAGAAACATAGCTCCCGAGGTAGACGAAACTATCTGCCTGTTCAAGTTGTGCACCTAAAAGAGTGAGCACGGGAGCAGGTGAGAGCCAATCCCTGAGCAGTACTTTACATTTCGATGCGGTGAAGCTCATGCCATACTTAGAGGCTTCAACCGCCAAACGATCCAGAATGAGATGCATACCCTGAGGATCGTTATCAAGTAAGGCGACATCATCAGCATAATCTAAGTCGGTCACGCGCTCAGGCGGTAGAAGCCCTAAGCCAAAATGATGCAAAACCTTCTAGAGCATTAGACAGAACGTCTTCGATTGCGAAGTTGAAGAGGAATGAGGACATAGGGCAGCCCTGTCACACACCGCTATTGAGAGCGAATTGCGAGCAAAGCTTACCATAGACCCTCATTCTGCCGGATGCATGAAGGTAAACTGCTCGTAAGATGGCGGTATATTTCTCTGGCACCCCGTTCTTTAGCAAGCGCCATAAAGCAGGTCGATTAATGGAGTCAAAAGCGGCACGTATGTCTAGGAATGCAACGATAGTGGACCTGTGATAAATGTAGCGATGTTCGAGGAGCTGGCGGAGCGTGGAGATTTGATACACGCATCCGCGGCCAGGACGGAAACCAGCTTGTTCTTCACGGTAGTATGATTCACGTACCGGGGATAGTCTACGAAACAGAATGGATGCCAATAGCTTAGATGCAACCGAAATAAGACTAATCCCGCGATGATTTGCACATAAAGTACGAGCGCCTTTCCTGAAAATCGGGACACTAACTGATTCGCCCCAAGAGGAAGGCACTTTCTCTTCATGCCAAACTTTTGCGAACAGCGCGGTCAGTTGGTTAATGATCGCCACACCGCCGTACTTGAATAGCTCCGGAGGAAGTCCGTTTAAGTCGGCAGCCTTGAAGTGCTTCAAGCGTTGAATCTCGAGGCAGACTTCCGCTTCGCTGGGTGGATTCAGTGGGACTAGCCAGGGTGGACAGCAAGGTGTACTGCATGTACTGATGGATAGTGGAGGCCAGTTGAATTGCGAGTGAAAGTGCTCGGCCCAACGGTCCATAAGCCTCTGTTGGTTGGTGATCGGAGACTCATCCGCCTCACAAATGACCTCACTGACAGTAGGCTTCCTGAGGCCAGTGGACCGAATGAGTTGGAAAAGCCTGCGAGTGTTGCCAGAGAGGGCAGCGGTCTCCATCTCATATGCACGCTCAGACCACCATGTCTCGCGATCTTTGCGTAGGTTTTGCTTGAGCAGCCGGTTGGCAGAACGGCGCCGTTCGTTGCAATCTGATTCCGAGGGGATATCTTTGCGGCGTTCGAATAGCTCCACAGAACGAGCAGAGATCCAAGACTTCAAGGGGCGTCGAGTGAGACGGCAGCATGACTGTCCGGATATGATCATTGCCTTCCGTATACAAATCCAGTGTGTTCCACTTCTTGCGGTGGATTGCAACTGATGCATATGCCAGTGAAGACTGAGAGCTCGTCTGGACAAAGGAACCAGTTAATCAGTTTACATCAATCTTGCGGTGTTTCGTGTTTCGGGATCCTCCAAAACACATACAGATTTTCGCGCAGACCAGAGCATGATCTGAGTCAACGAAGGTGGACCAAAACTACCTGCAGTCCAGTTCGCTGCCGCGCCATCTGAAGCTAATTGCACTGTGATCAATTTGAGACCACGGTTGTGTTGAAGAAGGGGGACGCCACGTTGCGGAACGCTTCTTCGTACGCCTGAAGTTAGTGCTCGAAAGACACACGGTTGTCTTCGCACAATGTGAGAAGTCTCTCTTCGTTATCAGAGCGGTTCTCATCGAGCGCGTGGTGACCACCAACGTGGCCTTCGTATGGTAACAAGCGGCCAACCCGTGCATTAAAATCCCCAGCAAGGATAACGACACCCGACTTTTTAGCATTAGTCAACAGCTGCTGTAGATCCCGGTAGAATTCGTCCTTGACCGAGTCACCACTGCAGTCAGTTGGAGCGTACACGGAGATCACAAACAAGTTGTGTCTCTCTTCGCGGTGCCTGTTGATTCTACATGAACCCTGAAGCCGAGCTGCACATAGTCGACTGTTAATCGGGAACCAGTCCAGTAGTGCCGTCTCGGCCTTGTCACTTAGTGCTATACCCATACCAGCCAAACCCGCTGAGGCTGCTTCTGGATCTCCAGAAAGACTCAGGTAATATCTGGCTTCGTGGTCAGTGAGGATATCAATGTAAGCACAGTGCTGGGATCTTGCAACCGGGTTTCTGAAAGGCAGCAGACATCAATGTCTAGGGAATCTAGGGTGCACGCTAGACCGGCTTTCTGTTCAATCTGCATGAGTGTCCGAACGTTGAAGCACGCCAGACGGAACGAGGATCGGGGACGAAGCATAGGTTGAACTCCTTGGTCTGCGGCGCAACGGCAATCGCAGCCAGATTGTTGAGCACATGAATCGGGTAACGGAAAGTGAGGATTGTTAACAAACAAACAATTGGCGTGTGATGAGGTCGCGTGAAAGTGACTAGCAGAAACAGCAGCTGATGAGCAAGTTGTAATACAGCCCATGGTTTTGCGAAAGGGCGTGATACTACCCGGTTGCCCAAGCAGAAGTAGGGAGATGACTTAGGGGACTCCACCCCGAGCCTTTGGCTAAATAACCTACCCGCAAGGCAGCTTTACGAATTTAGGGACAACATGCACATGCTAGTATTTCGATTAATTTGCCCTCTATTTTTAAGCCGGAGAAGAGAGCCAGGAGCTCAAACAGAACTGCAGCGTTAGTGTCCCCAAATTTCCTAACACATCTCAATCCCCTAAGCGGATAGTCAGTGAGCATTCCACCCCTTTCAACGGTGCAATTTTTATTAAGCCAGTTCTTCAAAACAAACATTTCTTACAAACAAATTAAAAGCTTTATTTAAAGGCAGCGCAGAACCCCGCCGCTCACTTAAGTCGGTGGGTATACATATGCGGAGTGGGGCGTAACCAGACTCAAACATTATTCCTGTTTCTTTTACTCCACTATCAATTTCGATCAGCATCACTCTACAGAAAAAGAGCTGAAAAGATGATATAACTCTGCACATGCATTCTTCTGAGGAGGACAACATTCACTCAAGAGCACTGCAGTTAGCAGCCATGCACCTAACCAATTGGTGGATACCTTCAGCACTGTCTAGTTCTGTTAAAATAGAAAGGCTGTGTTATCACACGAATTCGAATGGAGTTATCCAACCTAAGTTCACTAATTACAGCCGGGCAACGCTTCTGGCAGTGCTCACCAATATCATGGAGGTGATCATCGCTGGTTCTCATCAGCTGATTGTTTGCGGAAACTGGACTGAATCAGATGACGAAGCGATGGGAACCCATATCGTCTATACGGAAGTACAAGAGCGTGGAATAGCTTGGATCAGCGTAATTTGCCCCACATGCATTGTAAATGTGTCACTGAAACTATGGTATTAGGATGAGTCGGTTACTTTCCGCACGAACTGCAATTGGCTTTTAAAGTCCGAACATATTCACCTAACCCGATTCGAGTGGATTGTGGCGTACCTCAGGTGCGGTACTTAGTCCTCGCCTGTTGACAATTTTCATTAACGATCTAGCGAGAGTTATTACCACCAATTTGTTACTTATAGCAGACGAGGTTAAGAGTTAGCGGGTGATAAGCGGGCTGCTCCAATGCTTTATTTTACTCTGTATTGAGCGCATTTCAGGTTATCTTTATGATACATTTCTGTTTTCTGTTTGACAGGAACTATTCACTACCATGTATATTGGATTTCTTGGATTACTTTTCGCATCTTTTCTCATTTACCTGGTGGAGAAAAAAGAAAACGAGAAGATCCGCACTTATGCTGACGCCCTTTGGTGGGGTGTAGTAAGTTTGGCCTACTATTTGTTTTTGATACATCACACTCGCCTCCCTAAGGCCATCCAACCATTGGTACCATGTTGGTAACAGTTTTAACAACTAGCCAAAATGGTACGCCGAAGAATCAGCCCTATTCGACACTTGGCTTTTAGACACTAACAGCGATTAAGTTAAGCATAGAGTGTTGCAAATTTGGTATTTGCGTTATTCCAAAGAGTCTATAGTGCTACCTTCACAATTTATTCTTCCAGTTTGTCATTACTGTTGCTTTCTGAGCTTTACCGGAAGGATTTGAGTCCTATATTTGCTTTGAAGTACCATCGATGGCTAATCGGATCGTTTGCAAATGTCGCACCATCGACATCTATTCAACGTGAATGTGATGTAGGTGAAAATCCTCAATGTTTACCCACTGTATAGGTAGAAATTCGTTACATCTAGATTCACTCAGACAGCCATCACAAACCCGGAAAAGTACTGTACGCGCGTTTCATCCTTTCGGGAATCGTCAGCAGTGCGCATTCCATCGGACTCTGGTAGGGCTGGAACCCGCAACTCGACTGTTGCCAGTCCGTGATTGAGACCACTGAGCTACGGGGGATGGCAACGACCATCGTGAATAAGTTACGAGATGTGATATAGCGCCGCTCACTATCCACTGACTCTAGATGTGACGAATTTCTACCTATACAACTCAACTCCCCCTACTGCTCCTCTGTAATAATTACTCATTACTTGATTGTTTGCTGATTGCTGTGTTTACTCGAAGTCACTGACACGTAACAACCCGTTGCTTGGCACAAAACCAATTTACAGTTACAAAATTAATAAGTGAATCTGATTGGTGCTTATTTCTACAGCCACCATTGCTCTGCATTTTGCCCAATTGCTAACAGCTTTCTCGTATTTATAGATTACCTTGTGCACCGTTGGTTATGGTGACAGTGTTCCACGTTCCGGTCTGGGCAAACTCATTGCGGCTTGTGCTTGTCTCGCAGTGATTTCCTTTTTCGCACTGCCACCGGTGAGCTCAGCATGAAACTCTTCTAAAACACCTGAAACGTATGAGAAAATAAAATAAAATAACCAGTTGAAAACGCAGCTATTTGTCTTGGTGTCGGCATTACGTGCCGTTGTGAAAATTCAGCAGACATGCAGTGGTGTTCCTGAGGTGCCTTGACATAATAAGTATACACAAAATGCCTCAGTACTGTTATCGTGGCATGATAACCTGTGTGTATCTGCAGCCAAGTTGGGTCGCTGTCTGGGTAAAATTTTGACTGACGTTAACTTGTTGCTAACCGAGGGAATAGACGACTGTAGTTGTCTGATCACAGTACATTCTGGTTCAACCTAATGATAACAAATTTATAGTTCCTTAGGGACCGGGCCACCGTCATAAAAAATCACATTGATTCCTAATGTATTCAGTTGGGTGTTCCACTTGGAGTTTCTAATGTGGATACCTGATCACAACATCGGTCAGCAATTACCCACGAACTTTACACTACTCACAAACATCCACAATTACCTATAAGTAAACCGAAACCATTCAAAGTAGGTGGAGCTTGTCACACGTGGGATTTCGATTGTAGCTAGTCCTTATGTTCACTCGATGACGGGACTCACCATACAATAAAACTTTGAATAAATTTACTCAGTCACATGCCTGGAAAGCGGTTGCTTCGGGAGGATTAAGTATGGATACTGCGCCCATTTTGCTGAGACCTCGGGGTCGGCAACAGATGACACATCAAAAGGGGAATGATAAGACTCACTGAATGGCTGATTTGGCTTGGGGTATACCATCGTCATGAGTGGAGTTCAGGGGATCAACCGCAGCAATGGTTGGAAACCACTTCAAATATATCACAGTCGCGAAGGCAGCGGTGTTTTTGTATTCCCTGAACTCGTTTTCGACCTCAGGCTATTTCATTAGACGAATTCACTCATTATCCAGTTCTACTAAATTAAATCAAGAGTAGTAGTACTGTTTTATTCTGTTTATCCGGACAACTTTAGATACCCGTACCCCATGTTACGAATCAAGCTTGATGAATTTAGTCCAATTTCTACAAACTAATCACATGCAGTAATGGTTTGACGTTAGATAAAGTTAAATTCTTCGCTCACCTGGTTCAGTACCGGGATTTTAATGACGCTCAGCCACTTGTAAATGGCCCATATTGTGTATAAGCAAGCAACTGAGCTGAAACTAATCATACCCCGGGAGGTGCGTGAACCATAAGATATTTACCGTGCCGGTTCTACAGAATAACTTTATTGCATTACAGCAGTCTGGTGCTACGAAACGAAGAATTGCACAAGTTAGAGACAGCGGAAGAAAATCTTGAGGATTAGGCCATTAACCGTGCAACGAAGATACTAAACCCAGACAAAGTAATCACACTAGACGGGATGGGAACACTGTATGCTAGTGAAGCTATACTATACGCACGGTCTGGGTAAAGGAAAAATTTGTGTTTATAATTCAGATTAAAGGCAGTAATCGACTTACGAATAGGTTTGCAATCGCAATTAAACTGGGCAGGCACTTGAAGACATGCGACAGTGTGTGGAAATGGTACATCATAACGTTTTGCTAATCTAAAGTATGTCAAAGGTGAAACACTTGGCCTTAAAGAGTCAAGCAAATGCCATTAGTGCGAAGTCAATAGGTACAGTGCTTCACAATGCAGGTGCTCGAATCAAGCATGTAACAAACTTCGCGACGTACCAAAGTAACTTTTTTAGAATGGGGATATGTCCACAAATAAGCCATTCTGTATGGTTGAAGAAGTAAATGTCCCTTAGGAGTTTACAGCAAGATGAATAAAACAAGTATGTTTGACTTGTAAACTTAAAGCGAAGTTAATAAAGCAACTTAGCTAAGTTTAATATTATGAATGTAACTTTCCAAGCAAGAATGAGCATGTCCGTAACTAAGACTGATGAAGCAACAATGCAAGTTGAAAAGTTTAAGGTCGTGTGAAATTCACACTACTGACACTCGCAGTAGCCCGATGCCAGGCAATCATGCTTTGCGGACAATCACCTAAGATTAAGCCATTAGTCATAATCCTAAGTAGTTACGTGTTAGATAGCTGTACCCAGGCCGTTATAGTGCTGCGAATAATTCTTGAAACTCTGATCTTAACCTGCACTAGCCTCCACAAATTTTCACGAGGGTTTTCCCCTCAACATTCGAAAGTGGTGGATAAGCGAAAACATGCTGTTCTGTATCTTCCTCTTTGTACTTTTCCACTTGTGCTCTCTAAAGCAAAATATCCTCCTTTTACTTAACTCATATTGTACTCCGAGGTGTGAAAGTTGTCAGCTATTCCTCTCCACAATATTTATTAGGTGACCGCGTTGTCACAATATTGCGCATTCATAAAAGTTTGCAGATAATGCCACCCGGTTTTTAATGTTTCTGGGCATTGCAGGCACAGTCAGGTAAGACTGCGTGTTGCGACCGCCCGTGCATTGATTGACGTGGGTGTTGGTTAGAGAGTGATCTCTGAGACTAGAGGCTGCAATGGTCTGTTGGCTACGGATGTTTTGAAGATTAAAATCCAGGAACCACGGATCTAGCTGAAGTGCGTATCCTTCTCAGATTCTCGACTGAAGTGATTGATCAGGTTCCTGCGAACCACCGTCTACAAGCAGCCATTTTGGCAACACCAACTGCGAAAACACTTGAAGTCCCTGTGACGCTGCTTTTTCTCGTTTGTCGTCCACGCTGTAACTAGCTGGGACCTCTTAATCTAAGTACTACCAGCCACGAATTCAACACATCACTTAAACATGCTACCATCTTTCTTACTTGAGATTACGGCTATCCAAGTACGTTGTCCAATCTCCTCAGATAGTTAGTTGGGCGGAAAGTTGCAAATTAACCCTTGTATCGCTTCGATCCAAACTTTGGTTGACTACCTCCAGTTTTCGGACGGTTGTGCGGATAGGAATGCAGGTAGTTCCTACTTTCCGGACTACAATACCCGTCATCAATCTGGCCCAAATGAAGTCGCTCACAAGAATTTGGCTTCACTCTAAGACGCAGTCGATCCTCGGTAAGTTCAGAACTCAAATTAAGGTCACGGATATCAAGAAGCCAAACTAACAAATCCGCTTGTCATTATATCTAGAGGATCTCCTTAAACCTACGCTAGTAGGTGGCGCTACATGACTGGATTCTACTCAATAACGGTCTTTGTGCAACTGGAGTAGGAATTTCAACACAACTATTCAATCATTTGGCATATAGCTGTTATTCAGTCGTTAGAGTGAAGCCTATTTCCACGGACCACGACTCGGATTTACCTACAGATGCATTCTATGGCCACTACATTAACGTTAATAAATGTATAGCACGAACACAGAAACTATCCCCGATAAACACAAGGAGTGATTTGCTGAACTTGTACTCTGTAGTCAACGCAGCCATGGAGCTTGTAAAACAGACGAAGCTGGCAATTTCCCCAAAATTAGTGGCGATCGCTGCGCATTCTTATCAAATGCCAATACCTGGCGTCTTCGCATCGATCAGCCGCCTATCATCGTCAGTCACCTAGGCAGTTGTAGAGGAAGATCAGCAACACAGTTATGAGTTACTGTTAGCCAGGCTGTACAAAGATATGAAAAATACATGAAGCATCTTCCTTATTTCTGAGCACGTGCCGGCAGGCGTTAAGGTTGAACAATGAACAATGATTTATGTCGGGTAAATAAGCAGTTGCTCGACAGGTCGCGCAGGATGGTGAGGGTAAAACTACAATTAGCAAACCATAGGCGAGTTGTCTGTTTGAGTGTTTATCTAGCAGACCCGCAGCTGAATAATAGTAGTGTAAGTGGGAATTGAATGTGAACGAGGTGGTAACCTGGGGACAGTTATAGTTGATGTATTATATGGGAAAAGTAAGAAAAGAATACTCAATTCTGTCCCGCATCCTAAGGTTTACGTAACATGCTAATCTGGTTTGGAGAGATAATTAATTTATTCTAAA